TCACAAAACACTATTGAAAAGCATAAAATTTGACCTAAAAAAGAAAAATAGCAATATTTGCCATCACAAAAACAGAAGCTTTTCCTACACCAATCTTTAAAGTTAAGCTAATTAAGAAAATTCCCCCAGATGGAACGCTTTCAGTGAAGTCAAAATGAATACCTCGGAAGACCTGAGGAGCAAGTAGTAGAAAAGCACATCTGAACATGAGAAAAGCAAAAGAGAAGAGTTGCATTTTCAGATTTAAGAAGTAATCTTAAGTTATCATGATTAGAACAGTGTGGCAACAACAGAAGAATAGTCAAATAAGCAAAGGAAGCAGGTTGCATACTTCGGCGAAGACTTTTTCTATAAATGAGGTAGCATTTTTGAAACAAGGACTACTTAGATATTGATAAATAATTAATAATAAATCCATACAGAAAACGATAAACTTTGTATGTAGCCCCAAAATAACTTGCAAATGAGGTAGAGACTTACATGTGCAAAAAAAACCCAAAACTGATAGTTTTAGAAGGAAATATACAGTAAATATCTGGTGATGTTAAAGTAGAAATTTCTTCGATAGGTTGTAAAAATAAGGATTGAAAGAAAAAATGATGAATTGTAATACATTAATCTTGGCAATTTCTTTAAGAAAAATGGCATTTAAAACAATGCAAAAAGACTTGTCACCAAATGGGACACAATATTTGTTTGATGTATATAAATCATTGTTTGAAGTATATAAATCTTTCAAATAAATGAGAACTTAAAAGACATTCCATAATAAAAATAGATGAAATGTATAGAGAAAAAAATGAAATGTCAACTTAATGATTAAGAAAATATTAGGTACTAATTTATCTCTACATATTCATCTGATGATCTGTCACCTATACCTGTAATAACCTAAAGTGAGGGCAAGATATAAAGCAATGGGAACATTGATATTTCTCCTGGGGCAACTAAGTCCATGTCAATTAAAGAAGAAATTTCAAAAAGATAATATCTAATCCATAGCTCTTGGTATAATCAACAAACTGTGTTAGCACTTCACTGAAATTTTGAACACCTTATTTCTGACAGGGAAAAGTGGGAAGGGATATGAATTGATGTCCAATGTTTCTGGAATGTATTGTTTATTTTAAAAAAGAGGATGTTATTTTTAATATAATTAAATGTTCACATTTTAATTTCCATGATAGGTACACTGGAATCTATTTTCTTTAAGGCTATTTAAGATTTAAAAATTAAAACCAAATGAATGTTTTAATATAGATTAATATGAAGGGCTTTAGATAAAACAATAATTTTTAATGCACAAGTTATGTAGCATAGAAGTTGAATCCTTGACTTAGTCTAGGACTTCAGAAGACACCAATAAACAATAAGCCTTGTATTGAATATTGAATGGAGTAAGGATTAGCCCGATAAAAAGAAGGTGAAGGTAGTTTAGGTTAAAAAAATAATATAAGCAGAGTAAAAGAGATAGCAGAACAATTTTAAATATTTGAGGAATGTTTTTAGAATCTAGTTAAAAGTTAGATCATTCTTGAGGGGAATGCATTTAGAATGGCATCATTGTGAGTGGTCATTTGTGGAGTTTTTCTGTTGTTATGTTAGGAATTCATAAATCTATCCTTTATCCTAGGTCAGCTGAAGTACCTTAGGTTGGAGATGAATTTTAAAATGTCAGAAATCTAGAAATACTGCTAAAGCTATCTTGTGGAGGAAGGGTTTGGTAATGATAGTGGAAATAATGCAGATGAGGAAACCAATTAGGAGCGTATTTGAGAACATAGAAAAGAAATGGAACTAAACTAAGACCCCAACAATAGAAAATACATCAGGAAAACATATTTGCCCTATATTTAGTGGGTATATTTGGCAGGCGTTGACTGAATGGATAAAGGAATTGGAGGACAGAATGAGTTTTTGCATAGAGTACCTTTGTGAATCACAAAATATTAAACTGAGAAATCAAATCAAATAGTAAGTAGGATTAGAACTGATTTGAGTAGTTACTCCTTAGTTATTACAGTCCTATTTCTATCTTTTCCATAATCCAGCTAAAACATTTAGAAGGTTTCTACTGTACTAGATGGACATTTTATTATATGTGGGATATGACATAATATAAAATTGTCATATTTTAAAGGAAAGTATTTTGCAAAATGCTGTTTAACTGACAAATAGTTATCAGAAATCTGCCCTCCATGTCTCCGAGGTATTATACTTGTAGCTCTGAATGACTAAGACAGTCCTGGATTTCAAGAGTCTTGAAGTTTAGTTCCATATACAGAACTTAAATTAAAAAGCAGTATCTGTCTAGCACGAACAAGATCTCAGGTTATATTTCTAGCACTGCAAAAAATGAGAAGTTCAATATAAAACCATATAGAAAGTAAAAACAGAATCACAGCAGAAGGAACACTTTTCTTTGTGTAGCTGTCAGAAAAAGTTAATTGCATCTGACTTTTGGAATGTATGTTTTTAAAGGTGAAGAGGATTCTTTGTGGAGAGACTGGGGTAGAGCATTGAGAGGAGTACTCTGGGCAGATAAAATCACTAGAAGGCAGCCTGATGCCTGTGGAAATGACCCTTTGGTAGTCCTTGAAGATGAAATGGAACAGAAGATTGCTAGTTGGAGATATGGTTAAGAGGTGGATGGAAGCTATTCTCTCAAATTGTGCCATTATCTTTCTGTACCTAATAGATCATTTACAAGGGTTTAATATAAAATAGTGTTTGTGAATTATATATAGTTGGAGATATGGTTAAGAGGTGGATGGAAGCTCGTCTCTCAAATTGTGCCATTATATTTCTGTACCTAATGGATCATTTACAAGGGTTTAATATAAAATAGTGTTTGTGAATTATGGAGATGAAAAAGTTGTGAATCCGGATGACAGGCCAATGAACAGTATACAGAAGATTGTAGAAAACCTCAGACTTCATAGAATTCATGATGTTAGGGGCCACTAAGCTAAATCCAAGCATATTTTAGCCAAGTTCTTACTAAAATTGAGTAGTATTACATAGGTCCCTATGTCACAATAAGCCTTCGCTGTACGTCATTAAACACCAATTCTGTGAATACCATGTGCCTCATTCATCCTGACTTTTTCCCACCAGGGCTACTCCACTTTGGTCAACTGCAATCTTGATGCTGCAATGTGTTCTTTCTTCCCTTGACAGATTCCCAAAGGATGTATTAAACTCTTAAATTGACTATCCAGGCTTCTGTCACAGAAACCAGTGACAGGTTTTTATTATGCTCTGATTTCTGAGAAGTTTATCAGATGAAGTATTTTTATATATGTGAAATATCAAGTGGTGGTTGATATAGCCTCATACTGCACATTTAACATTGTACTAACATTACCATGTCTTGTATAACTTTTTTTTTGAGGCCCTCAGTCTATTATCTGCTTTTATTACAGAGAAATTCTTCAGCCTCCACAAAATGTAGAAATAGACCCAGAATGATTGAAAGTTTCCATTTTATCAAAACACATGTCTTGTATATCTTTTTGAATAAATATTTTCTGAATGTAAGGAAATATATGCAAAGCTAATAGTTACAAAATTATAATTTCAAATATTCATAAAGTTGCTCAGAGACTTACTTCTGAAGAGAAGAAATATAATTTGTGATTCACTTACTGGAACCAAAAATTTCTTGATGTAAAATGACACCAGGAATTATAAGATGCTTTCAAAATATTTATGTTTCTTAAGAGCTTCATATTCATATTTGACCATATATTGTTGTTTGCTCCTTTTTACAAATAAAATGAAGTTTTGTTTACTTGGACTAACAAGCTAAAACAAATGGACAGGAATGGGATGTGTTACTGAGCCTTGTGACATTTCTCAGAAACTAAGATTTGAAAATAGAATTTGATTTACAGAAACATATATTAGTAGGTAATAATTGTAAAAGTACAAAATTATGAATCCACACAAGTATATAACCTGTAAATTTCTTATTAAAGTTTAATGGCAGGCCAGAGATTATCTTTGAATGACTGTAAGCCAAATCGCTATTCTCCTTGTGAGTGTGCATATGGTCCTTCCTTGATTGTCTTTCTAAAAACTAAGTAATAAATCAAGCTGGTCCAGAAAGACCCTTGTGTCCCTTACATTTCTGTTATCTCCTTCAAACAAAATGCTCTCCTTTATTTAGATGCCACTGATTTTCAAGAAAGTCTTTAGTTTATATCCTATACTTGAACTGTTTTCTAATAATACAGCCATTTTAGTTAGTCTTCGTATTTTCTACAAATTTATAATTATAATTTATACCATATAATTAAGCACTTAGTTGATTTGTATTTTGCGATATCAGTGATGATTTTTGGATGTCAGTCTTCTCCAGTGACACAGTGAACTTTGTGATAACTCTGAACCATTCACTCATTAATTCACAGAGCAAATATTTATTATGATCCTACAGTGTGCCAGACATTCTTTTCGGCCAGGGAAATAAATGGTGATTAATGCAGCAATAGCAACAAATTATAATGGCTTATAATTCTATTAAGGGAGTCTAGGTAATATATGAATAACTTAAACATGTGATATGCTTCAATATATAAATCACTGGCTAGAATGTAAGCCTGGTGAGGGAAGGGACCTGTTTTTGTTCGTGTTTCTCCCTTGCTATCAAGCATATCAATTGAAATAACTAGAGTTCTATTTGTCCATGTTCATGCCAAGCACAGAGTTCAGCTAAGTAACATTTTATATCCTCAGAGTAAATGGTAGGTCACATATCGGAATGCAAAGAGAAGTAGACCTCCATGAGTTAAGCACATTGTAAGAGGAGGAGAAAGATGTTTTCTGTCTTTGGGTTATGATTTAGGATTTAACTCTGTAACAAAATTAACTTTTAGTTACACAAAAAGCTGATGAAATTATTTTATATTATCTCTAAGGAAAACATTAAAACACATTTTCAGTAAAAATTTTTTTAAAAAGTATCAAGGTATTTGGAGAATAGTAAAGAATCTTACCATTTTTACTGATGTCCAGTTCTTTAAGATTAACTAAACTAGCAATAGAGGTTGGCAGGTTCGAAAGGTCATTATCAGGAATACTTAGTTTTCGTAGAGCTTGACAGTTGAACAATTGCTGTAATAGAAAATAAACATCCATTAAATCACAGTTTGGTTAGTCCATTCAGACATAAACTAAGGAACAAAGAAGGGATGGTACGGGAAAAACAAAGGAGGAGGTAACAATGCTTGATAGGAAATGTACTCATTACCTTGCTCATGTAACTGTAACCCCTCTGTACAGTATTTTTACAATAAAAATGTATTAAAAATGTAAAACAATAAAAAAGATCCAGCTATATAAGCCTTCCTCACTTTTCTTCCAAACCCACCTTCTTCTTAACATTTTCAGAACAGTTTCATATTCCTTCACCATGTCAGTAACTCACTATTTTTGTCTACCCAGATGCCAAACTTGAAGTATTTTACTTTTCCACTTCTTTTTGCTATTTTCCATTCAATTTGAATCTTACTGATTTTGTTTTCTTTGAAATAGCTTCTGGAGTTGTCACTTTCTATTCCTACAGCTACCAGGGTTACCTCACTTCTATTTTACAGCAATCATGTTAGATTTCACAAAGCTTTTCCTAAAGTGGAAGTATCTATTCTGTCATGTTGAACAGTTATTTATGTGTCATACAGAATAACAATACATCAGAATATACAAGCTTACATTCCTTTAATGTCCTCTGGCCCTGTTTCATAAATAACTAGCAAATGAAACATTTAACTTCTGATAGTTGATAAAACAAACAAACAAAAACAAAAAACAAACAACCCCTCCACTGCTGTTTGCTTTGTATTTTCTATCATTCCTAATTATGGAATGGGAAAAAGACAAAGAGTCGAAACCATGTTTTATTTTTTGTTTGTTTGTTTGTTTTTGTCATGGGGCTTTAACTCTAGGCTTGGGTGCTGTCCCTCAGCTCTTCATTTTTTTTATTATTAATAAGTTTTTTATTGTGAAAATACCATACAGAGGGATTACAAGGTAATGAGTACATTTCTTATCAAGCATTGTTGCCTCCTCCTTTGTGGTCCCTTACCATCCCTGACCCTCCATCTCCCCCAGCCCCCCCCACCAAAGTTGTAAAGTTTGTTTTTCAACATAACATCTTGTACATCTCATTGTTACAATGGGTCCACCTGTATCCCTGTTTAAACAATCAGCTCTTCAATTTAAGGCTAGTACTCTACCATTTGAGGGACAGCACCACTTCTGGGTTTCTGATGGTTAATTGGAGATAAGAGTCTCATGGACTTTCCTGCCCAGGTTGGCTTTGATCAGCGATCCTCAGATCTCAGCCTCCTAAGTAGCTGGGATTACAGGTGTGAGCCATGGGTGCCCAGCAAAACAATGATTCTTGAATCCAGCATACTCATAGTCAGTGGAAGACAGAAGTTCTGGTTTAAAATGTAGATTCACTCTATCAGAGTGTCTATTAATGTTCTCTTTTTCAGTTTTGATAAAAAGAAATTCATTTTGTACATGGTGTTAAAAAAGTTCAACATTGCAACAAGTACTGCAAATAATCTTTTAAAAAGCCAAAAATGCTTAGCCCAAAATATAAAACTTCATTTCATATCTTATGTAGCGAGTAGTACACACTTGTAGCACAACTTTCCTAAAAAGATAATGGGTTAAGAACTAACAACCATTGGCTACTACTTTTTCTTGTAAACATGGCTTACATAAAAATGTGATAGTTAAATATACCAAGTGGCAGTTACATACTGATACCATACTTTATCTTTGCAAATTTTGCAAATAAAATTAGAAACATCAACTGAAAAAAATCTCCTTAGATAATTCTTCCAGTAACGAATCAAAAATTCTATCCAAGCTGTTCATATCTAGTAGTAGTCAAGACAAGTTGAACAGCATTAAAAATTGAATTTAATATTTTTCTGAAAATTCTACTGGAAACACATACATCAACATATCTGGACTACTAGTGTGCTTTCTAAAAATGCAGATTCCTGTTTGATTGGAGCTTCTGAATCTACATTTTTTTTTCAAGTCGGTAGAGGAACTTGAACTCTGGGCTCCAGTAACTGCTAAGGACAAAGGGGGAACCAATGCAACAATGATACTCACAAGACACTATGTTGGAAGTGATCTGTAAAACTTGGGGGGGATTGGGGGAAGAAGGGAGGGAGAAAAATGGGGAAGGAGTAACAAGTTTGACAAGAAATGTACTCACTACCTTACTTATGTAACTGTAACCGCTCTGTATATCATCTTGACAATAAAATTAAAATTTAAAAAGCATATACACAACCAATGTGCATACTCATAGTAAAAGTTAAACTTATTTTTAGTATATAATTCTGTTAAAATTATTCCATTTATATCTAAATGCAATATAATTAGTTATGGATTGATAGATTCTAAAAATGAATTATTGAATCACTGATTTTAGTAGGATTTACTTATCACTCTTTAGTTTGATTACTACACACATTTTAGGCTAAAGCTTTTCTTTGAAATTTGTCTCATATCCCAGCTCTATATTGCTCTAAATAATTAATACAAATCCCAGTATTCTTCATCAATTTTAAATGAAGTCACATCAAGGAAAAAAGCTGTGGAAACTCCTGAGTATGACACAGTAAAGAAAATCTCAGACCTCTTTCTAGTAGGTAAGAGCAAAGACATCTGGAAGCAGACTGATGTGCTCAAATTTGCTTGGCTCTTCTACGAAATTTACCTAATAACCTAAAGTTATGGGAATGTTCAGATTTCCTGCCTGTAAAATGCAGATGATTAATGCCCTAATTTGAAATGTTATTGAGAGATGAAAAGAGTTGCTATATTTTATTACTAATAAATCTGTATCTTTCCTACTTCAGCATCTTTGGTATTTGGAATGTATCTGGCAATCAAGAGTAAGTTATTATTTTTGAGGAGTTTGCTTTAAAAAATAACATTACTATATTAATGGTGTATCTGATAGTCAACAGACCTAGATTTGATTCAATGTAATACTTGCAAAAATATAAAACCATTTGTCCTATAATAGAGCTTAATAACTGCTAGCAATTACTAAGATTTGTATCCACAGATATAAAGACATATTGAAAGTGTTCTATTTCTTACTTTTTTTTAGATGAGGAGGCCTTTGAAGGCTTGGGTTTGTTTTTGGTGTTTTGGTGTTTACATGTTTACGTGTTTACATGTTTTTGGTGTTTACATGTTTCTTCTTCTTCTTTTTTTTTTTTTTTTTTGGCTTGAACTCTGGGCTTGTGCACTGTCCCTGCGCTCTTCAGCTCAAGGAGAGCACTCTACCGCTTGAGCCACAGCACCACTTCCAGTTTTCTAGTGGTTTATTGGAGATAAGAGTCTCATGAACTTTCTTGCCCGGGCTGGCTTTGAACCATGATCCTCAGATCTCAGCCTCCTGAGTAGCTAGGATTACAGGCATGAGCCACTGGTGTCCGACTGTTTCTTCTTCTTACATACTATAGTGACTGCTCAATAAATGTTTTTGAAAGTATGCCTAGATAATTAAAAGGATAACAAGTGCTAAATTCCAGCTGACATAGTAGTTCACTTGAATGAGCGTCAGATATGTAGATTGTCTCACTGAAGTATAAATTTTACAAACAAACTTTCTGTTTTTTTCCTTTAACAGTACTTTTTGTTTTTATTTATTCTGTTGCTTACAAACATTATTTCAGCTCCTGATTCTTGCATGAGTATTATATATGAGGGAACTTCTTAATATGATTCATGATGTCTACAGATTGGCAAAGAAATGAATATAGCATTTTAGTGACTTTTCCAGGATTAAAGCTTTGCATGAAGAATGATTATTGAATAGTTATAATTATTCAATATTATAGGAAAGAGCAAATGTAACCAGTACCTGACTAGAGTAACACTGTTAATAATCTTGTTTATCTTGCTTTTAATTTACGGATGCTATTTTCACATTTCAAAGCCAATAACAGTTCTGTTTTAAAAGACTTTTGTGCTAAATTGCTCTTTGTCTTTAGAAAATAGAAACAAGTTAACTCTGAAGAAATTGGTTTGAGAAGAGTATGCACTTTAAATTACCGGTTCCAAGCTTGACATTTAGAACCAAAGTAGAAACTGTCAGGTATAGTTTTTGTTTGGCTTCCTTAAAATTGTATTTATTATCTTTAAGTAGTTGTAGAAAGGAGTTACCATTCAGCAGATCAGTTTATAAGTACAATGTACTTTGATCATTGTCATCCCTTTCATAATTCTACCCCATCTCTCCCTACTCTTCCCCCTCAATTTTCTTAGTTTCAAGGATATGCATTGAATATTATAAATGCACTCTATTCCCTTCTTCTCTTCATCCATCTAATCCCCTCCTTTTGACTTTCCTTTATACTATTCAAGTGTTGGTTTCCTAGTATTCATTTTGTTGGACTGTAGCTTATCTAAGGAATTATGCCATTTGATTTCTTCCCTGAAAGCACTATACTTCAGTTAATATGTTTGTGTATACTTGTATTGTTTTTGCTTTTTTGTTTTTGTGAGAAGCAATGCAAAAGAAAAGGTCCAAAAGTTGAAAATAAAAATAGTTGAAGCTGAAAATGTATGCTCTAAAAAGTATTATTTCATCTATTCACTCAAGGAAACCCATTAATGGAGACCTGTTAGAAGACAGAAAATAAGCTTTACACATGGAGTGTAAAGTAAATAAGAGACCATGTTTAGGCAGACATTTAAATATTGTGAAAATGTGCATTCCATCACTTTTGTCGGATGCAGTGATATAAAAAATACATATTGTTTAGATTTGCTTAGGTTTATTTGTATACAGGTGGAATAATATTTATGTTCTCTTGTACTTTCCTTTTTTTATATAACTTCATGCTACATACCACAGCACTTTCTTGAATACTCTACTACTCATAGACTTTAGGATTATTTCCAACATGTTCTGATATGAATAATGTTGTTAAATATATTTTTATATACATGCTAGTATACATAAAGTTTCTTTGCAGAGGGAGACCCAGATTCAAATTCACCAAATAATACAATTTGTTTTCCAAGTAACTTTAGTAAATAAAATTTGAAATTAAGTGTTTAAATTA